AGTTAATATATATTTTTTTCTTTTTCTTTTTTATTTTAAACTACGTAATATCTATTTTTCTTTTTGCTGATATTGCTGTTCTATCCTAAAAAGCAGAGGGCTGGCTCTTCCTGCGTGGCATAATATGTTGTTGTTATCCTGTTTTTAATTCCAAAAAATGAGATTCATTTTGATGTTAATTTGAGATTATACTTTTTTTTTCTTTTAATTTTTATGTTTAAAAATGATAAGGATAAAAGATTAAGACTTCTCATCATGGCTAACCTATGGTTTATATATATGAAAATATCAAAAAAAAAAAAAATATGGCATGTCGACAAAAATGTAACGAACGAGAAGAAAACAAAATCGACCAAATTTACTTAAATGATTCTTGGAAATGAGAATTTGGAAGAGCATAGAAGAAGTGAATATCTCACGTACTTGGTTGATCGATTGAAGCACAGATGTTTCGAATATTTCGACCCGTATGCATTAACTAGGTCTACAGAAAAAGAAAGAAAAAATCTAGAGAATCAAATCCTTGACGGTTACATACATTGCATGGCATTGGATTGAAATGGTAACTGGATGGACTTTATTGGGAAGGCATGTTTTGAAGGATTTTTTTTTTCTTTTCTTTTTTCATATAGCCTCTGTGCAGCTCACATCAGTTACATTTTATTTTCTTTTAGAGTCTTTTAGAGGAAATGATATTACCATAGTTTTCATTTGTAATTTGTTTGCTCTGATATTATGTTAAATCAAAAAGAAAAAATTAAAAGATATCTAATAAACTTATAAACTTGACAACTTGTATCAAAATTTTACCCTACAAAATCAATTAGCTATGCCAAAAGTTACGTAAGGTTATTAGATCATGCACAAGCTCAAAATCAAACCTTTTGAAACAAAATTTGAAACAAGTAGTTAATGAAATTAAAAAATAACTTAGTGGATAAAGTACCTATTATCATTTCAAAGGTAGATGGTTCAAAACTCCACTACCATTAAACTAAAAAAAGGGTAAGTAGTTCATACATTTTATTTTTAACAGTAAGCAACTAAAACAAAAACAAATTTGTAATTTGAGTAATTATATTCTCTGAAAATCTAAGAAAAAGTCAGTTTATATATGGGAAGTTAAAAATATTGATTGTCTAAGAGTTGCATATGTTCTCCAAAGTGAAACAAAACTTCAAGCACAAATGAAAAAGTCAACAGCTAGAGGGGGTAGGTAGAAACTAAAGAACACCATGGAATAAAATATCTACTTTTGAAAGTATAAAAAATGAGATATTTTTGCATGAAGATCAATTGAATTGTCTTGTTCATGATAATTTAATTTGTTTTAGATTTAGAATTAGTTTAAAACAAACATTTTTAAGTTGATGCATTCAACTTTTATATTTGTTTTAATTTATTTGAGTTTTTAAATTCATAAATTTTCTATCTAAATCATTCCATTTTGAAATATTTTATTTTAGTTCTGGGCTAATATATTCACTATTACGATTAATTTACATTTAAAAGCTTAATATTCCTAAGAGCCTTAGATAATAATTTCGCTTAATTTTCTGCTATTATTATAAAATACGTTTGTTTTATCACCAATTTCGTGGATATATTTTTCATCACTTTTGAGTTCTTGGACTTTAAAAATATTTTTAAAAGATTCCTAAAATTGTTTCTATTATATACACTAAAATACTAATGGTAACATCTGCAACTCTACTTTTCTTTAAAAATGTTCTATCTTTAATTAATCACCCTATATTCTAAAAAAAGCATTACGGAGGGCCGTAAATAAATATCTATTAACATTTATGTGAAAGAATTCACTATATATATATAAATTAAGTTACATATAATTCTTAAAAGAAATATATATATATATATATATTTCTTTTAAGAATTATATGTAACTTAATTAATTATACGCTTATATTTTTTCGGTAAGATATTGCAAGGACACAGTTGAGCAATATTAAGGGTTCAGATTTGGGAAAGAATCCACATGGCATAGTTTTTTGCCATATGTTACAAAAGTGGCTTCACTAATTAATGTTAATTAAATAATCAAATGAATAACAGTAAACCTTAGTTCATTTTTGTTCAATGTCTATTTTAGTTAGGGTACTTCTTCAATTTTTCTAAAAAGCGATCATTTCTACTCCTATTTGCAAAATTTTAATACAAATTTTGTAATACAAATTTATAGTTAAATTTCAAGAAATTTAGTGAATGAAGGGTTATTTTAAAATTTTGACAAAATTAATGCGATAAATGAAAATGAAAGTGTCTTTTAAAAGTGTAAAGTAAAAACCAACCTTCAAAATTAACAAAATACTAAAAGTTGAAAATATACCGACCAAAATATACATTTTAAAAGTAATCGGAAAGTTAAAAATAAAGAGACCAAAATTATATTTAAATCTAAACCTTATAATTGTTTTGACCGGGGATTTTTAATTGCTATCACAAAGAAAAAAATAATAAAATAAAATATTCTATAAAACCCAATATAATTAGTTAGGAAAATCCCCATTTAGGTGGGGACTAATCTCCCATCTCTAACTTGAAAAATTTTTAAGGATAGAAAATTTCTTTAAATGGGTAATATATTTCAATACTCAATACTCGTTAATTTTTTTTGTCATTAGCATTTTGTTGTTCTTGTTTCTTCCCTTTTAATAAACAAAAACATAATTATATTCCGTAACTATTTCTTTTTTTAATTATCATTATCGTTATATTTAGTAATTATTTCTTTCTTTATCTTTTTATTGAACAAGAAGAAAACTGAGTTAGTTTGAAATGAGATGGAAAAACAAGATTTTTATTTATTTACATTTTTTTTGTAATGTTTACAAAATGTATGTTGGAAAGAAATGAAAAACAAAAAGCATAAATAGTTGTCAAATGCTTATTTTCTATACAAGTATATATTACTACCCTTAAAAGGTAAATATTTATATATTTGCATATTAAATTTTTATGATGTCCCTTGATCCTAACGATTTTTTATACTAAATCTAAACGAAGATAGATAGTTATTAGAAATTGTCGTTTACTCCCGACATAATTATTTGATATCGTCATTGACCAATTGTAAATACATATAGAAATTTCAAAAAGTATTTATCTCGTTACACCGGGAAACTAATTCATGAGTAACTATATTATGTTACATTATAGTTTCGTCAAGTCATTTAAGTAATAGTCAAATTGAACATAGCTAACTAGTCAAGACACATATTTTCGTGAGTTCAAATTTCCACCCCACATCTTATATTAAAATAATAAAAAAAGTCATTTAAGTAATCAAAACTAATTTGAAATAGATTTTTTTTCCTAATAAATGGATTCGTTATAGTAAATCCCATGATTACGAATCAGTCCATAGATTATCATGGTCATAAATGGACAAATATATCAGTTTCTATAGAAAAACTTTATTTTGGAAAGTATAACTATTTTTTTATGGATTGTTTGTTTGATCTTTTTTCAAGCATATGCAAATCTTTTTTTTTCTTTTATTTTCTCTATCTTTTTTAAAAAAATAAATAACATTACAAAGTTTATTTAATAAACAATGCAATTAAAATTAAATTCATGAGTTAATTTTAAGTGATAAAAATTTATTAAAGTAAAAGTAAACAAATTATTTAATTAATAAGTAATAAGCAATTCATGATTAATTATTTATTAATAGCCGATAAATTCACATTGAAATTATTATATACTACTGATACGAGCATCTGATATACTAATAATATGAGTATATGATATACTACTGATACAAATAAAAACTTATATTATATTTAAAAAATTTGGTGACATATTTTAAAATATACAAGATATTTGCTATCTATCGCAACTTCTATATAAAATAACTTTAAAATGACTTTTGAAAAAAGTTCTTGGAATAAAAATGCTTGTTTGAGTAATTTTGAGATAAGTACTAATTAAATGCTTCCCTTAAAAAGGTATTTTAAAGTAATTTTTTTATTACTTTTAGAACTTTTAAACTATTGGTTTATTATCTAACAAAATAATTAATTAATTAATATACATATATATATATATATATATTAAAAGGGATAAGGGCACTTTTAATTTTGCCATTTTAAAAGTCATTCCATCATTTACTTTTTTTTTCTTCTTTAATTGCAATTTTGAAGTCATTTATACATAGCTAAAAATGTTAAACTTTAAACCCTTCACTTGTTGTAATTTTATTTTATTATAACAAGTCGAAAACTCAATAACTTTTAATCGGAGATGAGTACCTTAAATTTGTTGAACTAAGCTCAAGTTGAATTGTGATTATTGTAATTATACGGCAGCCATGTTGTCATTGCAATTAATAAAACTCAATGTAATGAAGTTATAAAACCTGCACATAGATTTCACACCTTTAATAAACTTGCAACGTATGGTATTATTTGCATAGCCACCTATACACTTTGAGGGATTCTTTTTTTTTTTTCCAATTTTATTTTTCTTAAATGTAATAAAAACCAAAGTTTTAAATGTTTATACTGATCGATGAAATATCCATGGAAAATAGGGATGAAATGTCAATGTCAACGAATACTTCTCGAACGCTCATAAAAAAAATCATAATAAGTATTCAAATTAACAAAGAAGCATTTTCACCATTTCAATACAAGTTAAAAATTATTAATATTATGTGCATAATATTCACGATATTTTGTTGATAATTTTACATATATTTGTGATACAACGAAAATATCGATTTACCTCTCACCTAGATGTCTAACCTATATATGGACATATATGAAAATATGAATGAAAATATCTTGGCCTCAACCCATTACGTCAATACCCTGAAAGAGATTTTGTAATTAAAATGGTGCATTTAACCTAGAGGAAAACTATGAAACCGTCAGTTCAAAGATACTTAAATTGGCTCTCACTTTGGCAGCTAGCATCACCCTCCCTCTATAAAAGCAGAAATGATCTTCAGAAATTAGCATAAGAGAAAGAAAGAAAGAAAGAAAAAAGTTTAATATTATTGTAAAATGGAAGAAGTGACAGTTGTGATCGTCGGCGCCGGCCCTTCTGGCCTGGCCACCGCCGCCTGCCTGAACCATCTCTCCATTCCCAATGTCGTTCTTGAGAAAGAAGATTGCCATGCCTCACTGTGGAAGAAGAGAGCTTACGATCGCGTAAGCCTTCACTTGGCCAAGGAATTCTGCTCCCTTCCACTCATGCCGCACTCACGCTCGACACCGACGTACATGCCCCGAGCCACTTTTGTCAGGTACTACTTCGTTGGACTACCACTTGATCTAAAAGTTTAAAAGGTGATAATGGTGTGTTTATTATACACTTTACTCTTGTTTGTCAAGTTATTCATTTTCGTGGTTTTGCATGTCAATACATTAAACTTTTTCAACTTTCTCAATTTTATGTTTTTGAGATACTAGTTAGAGATTAGTTAATATTTTTTAGGGTCCTTAATAGATATGAGATTAAAAGTTTATACCTATATCTGCTATAGGTACTTTTGATAAAATACCATGCAGCATTAATAATAACAAAACTTGTAATTCAACTATAGATTTTTAAGGTGCACGACATATATCCAAAGAAATAACATTTTTATTTCGATGGATTGAGAAGGTACTTGGACAAGTACGTGGAGAAGATGGGGATAAAGCCGAGGTACATGAGGAGTGTGGAGGAGGCGAAGTGGGAAGAGGGGGAGAAGAGGTGGAGGGTGGAGGCGTGGAACGGGGCGACGGGGGAGAGGGAGGAGTACTCGGCCGAGTTTCTGGTGGTTGCGAGCGGAGAGAACGGGTTGGGGAACGTGCCGGAGGTGGCGGGGATGGAGAGCTTCGGCGGAGAGATTATTCATTCGAGTAAGTATAAAAGTGGGAGAGAATTTGAAGGAAAAGAAGTTCTTGTGGTGGGATGTGGGAACTCTGGGATGGAGATTGCTTTCGATCTCTCTAACTATGGAGCTCACACCTCCATTGTTGTTAGAAGCCCTGTAAGATCTCTCTATACATTCTCCAACTTAACCTTCTCTCTCCTTTCCTAAGTTTGATATGGATTTTTCTTTTCTTCTTTTTCACAAAAGTTTAATTAATATGGAATTTAATATTWTTAAAATAGAGAAGTAGACTTTAAAATTTGTTGCATGCATGCATGCAACATTTACAGTTTCCCCCAATCAACCTAGATTTATGTGTCCTACTGGTCCACTTTACTAATTCCTTTTGTCATTCTAAATTCGTTTTATTGTGTAATTAATATTATTGTTAAAAATATAACATAAATGATTCAACAAAAATTTATAATAGACATTCACGTATTSAGATCCGTAAATATTAATACGATATCAAAGTCCATAAAGTCCAAATGAGTATCTGATCTAARAATAGAATCCGACGAAGATTGATGAACCTAAAACAGACACCCTCTTGAAGGATAGGTTGAGAATCCTACGTTGAAAGATAGTTAGGGACTTTATCAACATTGATAATTATCATTATAACTCACTATCGTGTAGACTTCATTAACGAAATAATAATTTCCATTAATAACGGGTTGGATTGAACTCTATCTCTCAGTGAGAGAAAAACTCAGGTAAGACTTCTCTTTTTTTCTCATCTTTTATGTAATGTCTTTTATTTGCATTAGAAGAGACAAAATCCTTCTTAAAAGTTTAGATTTTTAATGATAATTAGCCTAATATTTGAAACTCAATAATTATCAATTCACCATATAATATAACCTCTCAATAATTATTAATTCACCATATAATATAACCTAGCCCATTGAGCTCTACTCCCTCTAAATATTATAGGCTGCAATATGATATTTGTCACTCTATATATATTGTGGGCCAAAGCTCGTCGTTACATGCATTTGTA